CTCTCTCTCTCTCTCTCTCTCTCTCTCTCTCTCTCTCTCTCTCTCTCTCCAAAGGAGGAAACAGGCCCAGAGAAGAGAAGTAATTTGCCAGAGGTCATTGAACTAGACAGTGGTAAAGGCAGTGTTTGAATCCAGGTACTCTGACTCCGTGTTCAGTGATCCCTCCACTGTACCCTGCTGCATCTCTTTACCAAACTTGAGAGGGGATATTTTATCGCCTCCCTTTCTCATTTCATTTGGTGTGTGAGTGTATGGGTGTATGGGGAAGGGTAATTTGCGTGGTTGACTTCAATGACTTTTAAGCCTGAGTAAAATGAGAGATACATTAGGGTCATATACTGACAGGATCTCGACTCTTTGCAGGGGGTGATGGGGTAGAGGAGAGATGAGGGATATAATTAAAAAAAACATTATTATTGATAACTTTTGTTTTTACCTTTATTTCCAAATGGATTTGAGGGTAGGGGGATAGTGAATACACATTTATTGATTTTCAAAGTTCTTACAGCACCTGGTGCAGGGCCTTACTCATAGAAGGCTCCCAAATAAATATTTGTTGAATTGAATTGTTGCTTAATTCCTGGGGTATTTTTTAAACTCCGTTTTTTTCCTATTTACTTGTGAAAAACAAGTCTTTCTACCCACTCCGGACTCCTTTTTACAAAGTGAGCTGTGTTGACTCATACTCAGTGTGATGCTTAGACAAATAAGTTCTCTGAGAAGTAGAAACATTTTATCATGTTTTGGAATGAGCAAATTGGAGAGGGGAAGCGGAGGAACCGAACTATAATTGATTCAAGAAAATCAGATTAGGACATTTGCTTTTCTGAAGTTTCATGAATTTTCAGATTGCATATTATTGGTTCGGATGCTTTTTGCTTTAGAAGTTTAAGATGATGGAGGATTTTTTTTTTCATTTTCTCTCAGAAGTACTCCCAGTTGGGCAGCTACCTCCCACCTCCTTCAGGATAATGAAGCTCTCTGGATTTCCTCTCTGTCTTCTGTGTGCAACCCTTTTTCTGTGGTTAGCACATGCCGGGTCTCTCAAGAGGTGTCAGATCTCCATGGATATGCATCACATAGAAAAGAGCTTCCACAGGATAAAAAATACAATTGTGAGTATGGGCTCAGGTGAGAGTGGGAGTGGGTACAGATATGACCTAGGCAGCTAGACAGCTCAGTGGATAGAGCAATGGGTCTAGAATCAGGACGATCTGAGTTCAAATTCAGCCTTAGACACTTACTAGCTGTGTGACCCTGTGCAAGTCACTTAACCTGTGTTTGCCTTAATCAATGGGAGGAGGAAATGGCAAACTACTCCAGTATCTTTGCCAAGAAAACCCCATGGGGTCACAAAGAGTCAGACACAATTGAACTTCAGCAGCAACAGATATGCCCCAGACCTTATTCAAAACAAGTGCCTCCTGGCAGGCTCCAGGAGAATATCATAACAGGTAGCAAGCACTAATATGGCACTTCTAAGGTTTACACAGAGCTTTCATAATCTTATCTCATTTGATCCTCACAACAACCCTGGGAGGGAGGTACAATTATCGGCCCATTTTACAGATGAGGAAACTGATAGCACAACTTGCCCAGGGTCACCCAAAGATTAAGTGGCTGAGACTGCATTCAAACTCTGTTCTTCCTGAATCCAGGTTCAGTGCTTTATCCATTGTACCACAAGAGTGTTGGATTTGGGGTTAGAAGACATGAATTTCAATCTGGCTTCTGTGTCTTTCTGTGTGACCTTGGACAAATCAGTTAACCTTTCCAGGTCTCAGATTCCTCATCTGTATAATGAGGGGATTGGACTAGATGACCTTCAAGCTCCCTTTCTGCTCTCAGTTTATGATCCTGTGATTTGCTTATCACCTTGTCTCTCTCTCTTTTATGTCTCCCTTTGCAGCAAATGAAGGATGTCTTTCAGAATGTCACCATCCTGTCTGCATCTGAGACCCTGTACAACATCACGGTACCGACTTATGCAAACTACTTTTGTGTGGGAGAAACTCCAGTGGTCATTGCTCCCAGCACCTAATCCCCACCCTCTCCCTTCCTAGCCTTTTTTCTAACCTGGCAGGCATTGAAAGGTTAACCAGGGATGGGGAACTTGTGGCTTTGAGGCCACATGTGGCCCGCTAGCTCCTCAAGTGCAGCTCTATGACTGAATCCAAACTTAACAGAATAAATTCCCTATTCAGAGCAGCTAGGTGGCCCAGTGGATAGAGCACTGGCCCTGGAGTCAGTAGGACCTGAGTTCAAATCCAGCCTCAGACACATAACACTCACTAGTTGTGTGACTCTGGCAAGTCACTTAACCCCAATTGCCTTAACAAAAAAAAAAAATCCCCTACTCTACATCCTCAAGTGCGGCCCTTTGACTGAATCCAAACTTCACAGAACAAATTGGATTCAGTCAAAGGGCCGCACTTGAGGACCTAGAGGGCCACATGTGGCCTTGAGGCCACTGGTTCCCCACCCTGGTTATGACCAACATGGGTTCTGAGGGCAGGAACTTCCTAGAACCTCTGAAATCTGCTCAGAGGGGAAAGCTCTTCAGTGGCAGAATCTGGCCCAATATTTAACCCCAAACCAATGCCTAGAGTACACCATGAGGTGGGGCTGCCTCCTTCCCAGGTTACAGTTAATCTTTTAGTTGAACAAGGTGTCATTTATCTTCCGGACTCTCTGAGCTTATAAACTCAGTTTCTTATTAAGTTACTCTATAGAACTAGCTATTTAGAGTCTATCATCATAAAATTACAATACTTTAGAGGTCATTGGTTTTAGAGTGGGAAAGAGGTCATAGAGATATCTTTTTATGAATCTTTATTTTATGGATGAAGAAACCAAGGTCCAGAAAGTACTGGACTTGAATTCAAAAGAACTGATTCTGAGTCCCAAATCTAACATTTACTTGCTGTGTGACCTTGGACAAGTCACATGAACTTCAGTTTCCTCATCTATAAAATGGGTGTGATATCCTGTTCACACGATGGTTTGCAGGCTCAAATGTGATAAAATATGAGAAAGTGATTTGTAATCTGCCTAGTGTCCTTTTAAAAACAAATTAATTATTATTAGGTCACACAGGTAGTTTAATGGCAAAGTTGGGAGTAGAACCCAGATCTCCTGACTGCCAGTTAAGTATTTGTCCTGCCATATCACATTGCCTTTAAATTTTTTTCAGGTTGTGATAGATAAAAAACTCTTTAGAGAAAAACAGAAGTAGGGGCAGCTAGGTGGTGCAGGGGATAGAGCACTGGCCCTGAAGTCAGGAGGACCTGAGTTCAAATACGGCCTCAAACACTTGACACTTACTAGCTATGTGTCCCTGGGCAAGTCACTTAACCCCAATTGCCTCACCAAAAAGCAAAAAAAAAAATTGAAGTGATACATTCCAGTGTAGTTATAGCCAATCAATCAACAAACATTTATTAAACACGTTATATGCTGGCCCTGTACTGAGTGCTGGGGATACAAGACAAAAATAAGACAGACTCTGGTTGCAAGAAGCTTACATTCCATTATGGGACACAACTTGTGCCTATGTCTATGTCTACACTGTATCTATGTCTATACGCAACACATCATATTTACATATAAGCATGCTTCTATGTATAAATAAAGATGGATACAAAGTAATTGGGCAAATGAAAGCATGAGCATCTGGGAGACAAAGAAGGGCTTCATGGAGGAGGTGGTTCTTAAGCAAGGTCTTGAGGGAAGCTAAAGATTGTAAGAGGTAGAGGCAAGAGAAGAGGACATTCCAGGAGTAGGGGACAGACAGCCTGTGCAAAGGTGTGGAGGCTGGAGTTGGAGCTATGTGTGAGGAACTGTGGTTCCAGTCAGTTTGACCGGATTGCAGTCTGTGTAAAGAGGAGTAATGTATAATAAAACTGGGAAGGTAGGTTGACCCCAGGTTTTGAAGAGCAAACAAAGCAGTTTATCTTTGATCCTAGAGGTAAGAGGGGGGCACTAGAGTTTGCTCAGTAGGGCAGCTGACCTGGTATAAATTTGGGAATTGGCTCCTCTCTCCTAGAGGTGAAATATAACTCCAAAAGGGGTAGTTGTTCCAAGACCCCCAGGTTTGACACCCAAAGTTCTATTTTCTATAAAGAAAAATCTCCATATGAAACAAAAGAAATATCTTACTGTTATTTTCAAATTAATTTAAGTGAAATCTATATATAATAGCTTTGTATTTTGGTGTTATCATATATACTTATGTATTACTTCATAGATCTGCCTCTTGAGTTGTAACTAGGGCAGGGTAGTCAGGGCTTTGTCCCAGGGTATCAATATGGGGAGGTGTACTTCCTCCTTGTGGTAGTCCAGAGACGGCATTTCATATTTCACAGTCATTTGCTGGCCTATGATTTCTGTGCTGTGTGTACCCCCTCCACCCATGCAGATCAAAGTCCTTCTTTGATTTAGTAGAAATTGTTTGACACTTGCTGTGATCCAAAGATTCATCACCCTGAGGTCAATCTGGTGATAAGCCTCCAAGAATTTAGTTGGGTTGGTCCTGGGATCTCCTCCATACAGCCTATTCCCAGGTTGTAATAGGAACCTTCTGAGTTTGGTAGGACCCACTGCAGTTGCTTTTCAGAGGCCAGGGCCTGCTTTTTATCTTGTGGAGAAAGGACATTAATGGAGACAGAGGCATTACTAGGATTTTTTTCATCTAGGGCAAAAGCAGTTGGAGGAAGAACAGAGGCTCCAAAGAAAACAGTTTCACCATGGGTATTTTGTTGTTGTCCAGTCATTTCAGTTTTGTCTGACTTTTTGTGACCCCATTTGGGGTTTTCTTGGCAAAAATATTGGAGTGGTTTGCCGTTTCCTTCTCTAACTCATTTTACAGATGAGGAAACTGAGGCAAACAGGGTTAAATGACTTGCCCACGGTCACACGGCTAGTAAGTGTCTGAGGCCAGATTTAAACTCAGGAAGATGAGTCTTCCTGACTCCAAGCCCAGCACTCTATCTATTGTACCCCCTAGCTGCCCCATGGATATGGTCGTTCTATAAGAGTGGGCAGTCTATCTGCCTCTTCAGAGATAGCTGGTGATACAGTGGCTAGAGTGCAATACCTGGAGTCAGGAAAACCTGAGTTCAAATCCAGCCTCAGACACTAGATTTATGACCCAGGGTAAGTCACTGAACTGCTGTTTGCCTCAGTTTTCTCAACTGTAAAATGGGGATGATAAGAGTACCGATCTCCCCAGGGTTGTTGTGACGATCAAATGAGATCATATTTGTAAAAAACATTTAGTACAGTGCCTGGAACATAGGTGGTGCCATATCAATACTTATTTTCTCCCTTTTCACCCCACCACTCCTCTTGCTTCCCTCCTTTACCTTCTCCTAATGTTTGAACCATCACCCCCTTTCCCTATACCTCTACAGGGAGATCTGACACAGTCCAGGAGCAGAGAGGTATGAAACAATAAGAGGGCAATCTCTGAAAAGGCA